TTACCCTGGCGAGCCGCGTGCCAAAGGTTGCCGACCCCTGCTATACTCATTCCTAGTGTAGACCTTGCCTAGGACTGTTCTCACTGTCGCTGCCATAAGACCGCTGGCCTAACCCTTGCTGTGACCACGACGGCCTTTGTTTTCTAGGCTGGCTTTTGTTCCATTTCAAGCTGCCGAGCAAACTACCCGGGGAACATTCCCCAAAGATCAGAGAGAGGCCCTGGGTTCCACTCTGACACACAGGACGGTTGGGTTGGCTGTGTTCATCCAGAGGGCAGAGGTAGCATTATCTTCATTCCCATGTCACACGCAGGACTGCCTTTATAAGCCACTGATCGATTGGGCTGTCTCCATAATAGACTTGCCAGAAAGCAAATGTCTGCACAGACATAAATCACCAGCAGACATGCATTGCTCCTCAGCTAACACATCTGCATGGGCTTGAGGGATAAAGAGGCCGGCTCTTTTCCGTCTCTCTCTTTGCTACTGCAAGTATTATTTTGACAATTTAGTGTGTGTGTGTGTGTGTGTGTGTGTGTGTGTGTGCATGTGTGTGAGAGGAGAGGGTATGGTACATGTTTGGCTTGTGTTGGGATTGTATGTATTTCTGTAGGGGCAGAGGGAATGGTACGCCTGTGTGTGCATGGTGGCTTGTGTACGTTTATGCGTAAGAACAGAGAGTGTATTGGGTGGAGGTGATGCACATGAGGGAGGATTGAGTTGAGGTGTCGTGGAGAGTGTGTAGGTGACTGTGGGAGAAGGTCGAGGGTGTTTGTGTAGGAATGATGTATGTGTCTGTAGAGGTGTGTAGGATAGAGTTTGCTTGCATCTGGGGGGTTTGGCTGGGGTGTGTGTCATCAGTGTTGGTGTACTTCTCTGCCACAGTGTGGGGGCGGAGCATGTTGTAGGAAGGGAGTGGTGTATATGAGAAGATGTGTGTGTTTGTAAGGTGGGCGGGGCACAGTGTGTGTTAGGGTGTGAGTGGCGGGTGTGTGAGAAGGACATGTGTGTCTGTGGGGGTATGGGAGGGTGGTGGTGGAGGTGTTCATGACTTGAGGAGTGTTTGTGTGGATGGTGTGCGTGTGTGACAGTGTGTGGTTGTGGAGTGCGTCGGGTTGTGGCGGGCAGGCTTGTGATGTTGTGCAAGGCCCGCTTCTGAGGCACTCTGGGTACATACAGCCCTGGCTCCTTTGCCGACTGTTTCCATCTTTTTGAATTCATATTAAACACTCCCCATTGGGTTTTGTTCAGTGCCCATCCTTCCCGCTCTGACAAGGGGGCTCCCTGCACTATTTAGTGCACACCGTGGGAAGGGGTAGTGTGGGCGGAGGCGGGAGGAGGGGGTTGGAATACGCAGCACTCTGTCAGTCCCCCAGTGACAGGAAAGGCTCTGTCCCAGTCGCCTGGCTCGGAGCCTGGGGGTCCCGTCCCTGGATCCCCATGTGTTTTGTGGGAGTGAGTAGGAGCCCCGCTGTATGGGAGGCATGGCCTCTCTGACCCCTCACTACCTGATCACGAAGCTGTGAGCGTCGATCTCTCTCCCGCAGCCGCTGTTCAGCAGGATCCCCGAGTTGCCCACGATGGCGCAGGTCCGGAAGCGCTTGCCCTTCAGGGGTGAGGTCCTTGGCAGCAGCTCATAGAGGTTCTGGGAGACGTTCATGGTGCTGTCCCTGTCAAAGACGTAGTGGATGACGTCCCCGGGCTTCAGGGTCCCCTTCAGCACCGAGATGTCCTTCTCCGCATCCAGGAACTTCAAGATCTGTTTCCTTGGGGAAGGAAATAAAACAGATACTTGCGGCATGGCCTATGACTGCAAAGCACCCTCCTCCTGCTTGTCTATGCTCCACAGCCTGGCTGCAGAGAGACTGACGGCCTTCAGGAACCACTCAGACTTTAGCATTCCACTTGCTACCCCATGTGTGCTATAAAATGGCTTCCCACCTTAATGTATGCATCTTCCATACCCCCTTTTCCACCGGAGCAGGTCCTTAACAAGCCCATCCCTGCCGCTCTGCTCTCCGCCAGCAGGGGTCACTGTATTTACCCACAAGGTGGCAGATTTCCTTCCCCCTCAGGAGTGGCTGATCATGGTGAATCTGCAGCACACTCTGGCCCCTGCTTGTCTCCAAGAGTGGAGGCCGAAGCCTGTGTCGCTCTGTTAACGGGAAGCCACCCGGCTGAGCTGGGAATTCGTTTCCAAGCGATCGCTTACAGATATGAAGGCTAGCCCAGCAGGAGAGAAACATTTTATTTCTTTCTTGACTTCTTTAGATGATATACTGAGGCAATTTGCCAGCTTGCACTGAAGAGGACCAAATCTGTCTCTTGTCCTATAGGTAATTACCAGTACCTGATCTTCAAAGAGAGTGTCTGGTTGTGTCTCCATCTGAATGAAGCTGGTTTAATGTGCTTAATGCTTTCATTACTTCTGTCAACAACAGCTGGAGATGAAGAGCCATTTATTACTACTTCAGCTCTAGAGAAAAGAGAGACAGAGAGGGGGGAGAGACATGATCCGTTAGCTTCCCAGTGGCATCTCTAATCGCTCTGAGATGGCTGGGATTCAAACTTCTTTAGAAAAGCAAAATTGCAGTTATTACCTGAGCAGGGAAGGAAAGCCTATTTATTCTCTACTACACACACATACACAAACACAGACTTACACAAATACACACAGATTTACAGACAGACATACAAACACATGCATACATAGACAGACTGATACACACACAGACTCAACAGACAGACACACCGATATACAGACAATCACACAAACAAAAAACTCACAGAGACTTAGACAGACACGGGCACAGATTCACACGCAGAGATTCTATACACAGACAGCAAACACAGCCCTGCTCACAGATGATGACACAACCAGATACACACCCACACACACACATGCCCTTCCCACAAATGACAAATCAGATCCACCTGTTGTGGTGGGTTAAATCCACATCAGAAAAATGTGCTCTTTACTTCACCCCGGCAAGAGAAATGAATTTAGCTGAGATGCTGGGGGCATTGGTACCACTGGCAAATGCCCCATTACGAACAGCAGGGATCTTTGATAACTTTTCTTCCCTTCAGAGGAAAACAATGAGATTTCATGGCATCCACTCTGTGCTAGGGTGCCAGACCCTGGCGAATGACTGGTCGGGGAGGGCCAGAGAGCAGTCAGGTACCCAGGTGTTGCAGCTCTGGAGATGATCATTGCGAGACCCCAAACTTAATCACTGAATCAGCAAAACAATCAAGGCCCCAACAGTTCAATTCAATTTGCATCAAATGGCATAAATTATGGGAACCGCTGCATGCTTTATGTCTGCGAGCCTCCCTCCAAAAAGAATAACCGAGAGGCTCATCAGGAATCAGGGCATGTATGTGCAGCCCAGAAAAACCCTTCACACTCCAGAGTACACTGAAAAATTCACAGCCAGAGTGTTTGCTGCTAGCGAAGCAGAATGTCCCTCCTCATTGCAAGAGGCCACTCTGAGCCGGGAGAGAGTTGGCAAATGAAGAGATCTATACCCAGGTAAACACCCCAGAGGGAGAGGAATTACCCCTAGAGAGCCCCCCTGGGAGACATGGAGTGAGAGTAGAAAGGGATGCTCTTGAATGTACCAGGTAAAACTGTCCTGACAGTGAGCTACGGTAGCTGGGGGCATCGTGACATAAGGCTGTGTCCATTCACAACGATGCAATGTGGGGTGCAGCAGTGCAGTGTTGATTCCATTCCTCCTGGAACGCTGGCTGCCCTATGTAGGCCATCTTGGCAACTCACTGTCAGCCAGGAGGAGGGATAGCTCAGTGGTTTAAGCATTGGCCTACTAAACCCCATGTTATGAGTTCAATCCTTGAAGGGGCCAATTGAGGATCCAGCGCAAAATCAGTACTTGGTCCTGCTAGTGAAGGCAGCGGGGAATGATTAACAGGAGATCTCAGGCACATGTGAGGATATTTTGGGACTCCTGCTACTTAATATTAGAGAGGCAAGCTGAATATATTTCTAGATGCTCGTTGTCACTGTGTGTGTATATACAAACTAGCAAAGTATGATCTGCGGAGACTGCCAATAAGGATAGCTACCAATCTTGCCCTTCACCACATAATCTGATCTCCTGCAAGGCAAATTTAGAAAATGCAAAACAATGCCAAAGTTAATTGGGTGGAGAAAACCTTCCTAGCAATAACTGTGATGTTTTTGTGCTTGATGCTTTTTGTATTTTGATGAAGTGTGTGGCATCACCATGTCACATTGCAGTGCAATGACACAAAGTGTCATCGAGTGTTGTCACTAAGCTACCCAATTATAGCATTTAACAATGTTGTGATGATATGGGATGATCTTGCAAATGACCTAGAAGGATGTCCCAATACCACTGAATGCCTGTAGTGCCACAGAATGACTTTGTGATGGAGTGATGTCTCCGTGTCACTGGGTGGCATTATGATGCAACAGAATGACAGTCTGATGTCATAGAAAGAAATCCCTTTTGTAATACCACGGTGGAAAATTGCAAAGGTGGCAACTTTCCCAGTGACTTCTTTTGCACAATAAGTAACTCTCTTCCATATTTTCAGTCACTGCAACTTGCAGATCCTTGGTCATTTGCAAATAATTATTGCATTGAAGTAGAGGGGGGAGAATGATTAAGAAAATGTAAAGCAGAAGGGAAAAGAACCAGATACATTTGCTAAATAAGAAGAGTACCATCCGGCAAAGAAGAAGAAGAAGATTAATAGCTGCCTTAGAGCAAAAACAAATGAACACAAAATCTAATTTACAAACCTATTAGATTTGCTATGTAAGCTGTTCACAGCTGATCTGATTGTACCTCTGCCTCCAGAATTCCTGCAAGACAAAGGAAATGCATTATTTATAAACCCAGCTCCTCTTTGCAAATCATTGTTCAACAGTCAAGAGATCCTCAAAGCTGCTACAACACTCACACTTCACACCATCCAAAATGGCAACATCTAGGGGCGGTCGGGGAGGGGGTCTCATGCCCTTCTTCAAAGCGGTGCCCCATTGTGACTGAACCAAAATTGGGGAACGACCCCCTTCTGGTAGTCCAAAGAATCGGTTAAAAGTCATTTGCATTAACCACTTCAGAGTGCCAGAGGCTTCAAGTAAAGGGCCTGATCCTCTCATCCAGACTAGCTGCACTTGGAGCAAGACGGGGGTGAGCAGCACGGTATCGTTAAACCACCTTTATGCTACCCTGATCCTAAGGTAGGCCACGGGTCAGTCCAGCCCAGTTCCCAGCATGCCCCGTTAACTTACACTTGTGCCCCCAATGTGACAGCAATGTGCGGATCAGAGGGGAGCACGGATTCCCTGGCCACACCCTTTTTTGCCTGGCCATGCTCATATAACAGTGACTAGAAGTGGGAGTTGCATAAGAGCTAAATTTCCAGCCCATGGTCATGTGGTAGTAACGAAAAAACTCCAGATGGGCTGGAACCCGAGACCCAAACAGCTTCATAGAGAGGAAATTTGGATCCGAATCCTGATCTGAATATCACGGCTTGGGCCCATCTCCGAATAGAACTGTGCGTCTGTAGGTGTCCCTTTCACCTGAGGATCTCCTAGTACTTCATGTTAGCCCAGTTTTACAGGTGAGATCCAGAGGCTGAGAACGTACACTGGAGTCCTCTTTTTCCTGAAACCCCATCCCATCCTGTCCTGTACCTAGAATGTTGTCAGCGTGGGCGAGGGGAAGGATTAGTTTAATGGAGGAGGTGCTTTTTAGGTTGTTTGTTTCTGGGGGTTCATACTCTGAGTTTCAAACTAACATCAAAACAGCCCAGAGCGCTAGGTTTTTGCATGATGTCTGCCACTGCCATAAATAACTCACAGAGATAGCTTTGGTCCCCCTGATGGACGACCGTCACATGGCAATGGATACAGGCCAAATCTCAGCCTTTGACAGTGGATCCCAAGGGCCCATTTACAAGCCCTGGCTGGGGTGGATAGCATGACTCCAACCTGGTCCTGATCATTAACCTCCAGCAAATTCCAGTGAGTGATGAGTAACTGCTCTTTATCCTCCCCAGCCCTCCTAAGTTCAGTGCCTCAGCGGTCAGCCCTGGCCCCCATCCTTTACAACGTACAGAAGAGCACTTCAGCAGAAACGATCAGATTCCATGGCCTGCCCTGCTATCAGCATGTTGATGAGACCCCTGGCTAGACTACACCTCCCATCATGCACCTACAATGTGCCACACAGCTTAGTCAGAGGGAGGTCTGCACTGCATCATGGAAGCTGTAGTCTGGCCAGAGAGCCCAGCCCATCGGACAGAATGGTGTTATCAGGCAACCCAAATTTCAGCTCCCATGAAGCAGCATGCCACAATAGAGAAATGCAGTTTAATGTTAAACTGACTCGAAATAAATGTTTTGGGTCAGTACAGCAATCCAAAATATTACATTACCATTTGAACTGACCTGAAAGGAAATAGTTCATGTCAGTTTTCCCAATGGAAAATCAAAAATTTGCAGCAAAATCAAAATTTTTCCCCAGAAAATTTTGATTTTTCCAAAACTGCAATTTCCATCAGAAAAATTCCCAACCAGCTCTATTAATAATAACCTCACCCACTATCACAGGTGTCTGGCTCCCAGATCATCAAAGTAGTGCACAGCCTAAGGGTCACACTAAATACATTTCTGCTTCTCAAAACTAGGTAGCAACAGTGGCTAGGAATGCCTTCCTCTACCTCCGGGTCACCAGGAGACTTCATGCTTCTCTCTCAGAGGAGGACGTGGCAAACAAGATCCACTTCTAGACTGGACTCCTGCAACTGCTTTTATCTTGGGCTGTTAGTTAAGGCCAACCAAACATCTCCATCCTGTCCAACAGACGGCAGCCCACCTCCTGGGCGAGTCACGGGGAACACATCACGCCAGTACAGTCTCCACTGACTTCCTGTGCCCAAGACTGGCTCCAATTCAAGGTCCTGGTATTAGTCTATGAAAACCTTCGGGTCAGACTGCGATACCTTACCACAAATAGTCTCAATGAAATCACAGGGACTATTTGGTACACCCTATTATGGGCTGGACTAGATTATCCAAATTAAGCCTTGTCATTGATGATCCTGAGACCACTGCACTCACCAGAGACACAGAAACTAGATCTTCCAAAAGTCAGACTCTTGGGAGCCAGAGGTAAGCCATTTCTAGTGCTGGCTCATAGGCTGATGCACCATTCTACCAGGGGAGAGGGGGGAAAAAAACAGGACAAGCGTCCAATCTGCTGACTGCAGAGCTCACTCCTTCTTTAGCCTGGCATGCTCAGGGAATTGGCCCTCTGTTCCTACTGATGCTCACTAGGAGTTGGGCATGTAACTCTCTTAGACCTATTGGAAAATAACAGCTTTAAGTCTCGTCCTCGTAGTTTTCTGTGCCCATGGCTTAGGTACTAGATGATTGTGCTCTATAAGTACTAAAGCTGCTCAAAAGATTTTTTTGAAATGTTCAGCTTTTCAACTGGACATTTTATTTAATGAAAAATTCCCTTATGGGCCTGTTTTCTCCCACAGCCCAGCTGCACCAGGCCCAAGAGGATAAGCAACAGAAGAGAGTCCTGTATCTCCAGAAAAAAATTGAGTTTGGAGTGAAAACTCAGGGAGCTGGGAGACAGGTTCCCCTCTTAATATCAAATCCCCTGAGCAGCTCATCTGGGACACGTTGCTTTGGAGCATGCCATCATATGCAGTTTCCTGCTTCCCTCCTGTAACAGCTTTTTTTATCCTTTGACAAGTCTGAGAATCAATTGCTATTTCATCTCGTCAAGGGGATGGCAGGGCTGATTCCTTCAGAGAGCATTTATCAAGCATCCATTTTAATAGGGTTCACCGCAGGGTGGGAGAGCAGTCTAGATTAGTGTGCAATCTGTGCATCCTTTTCAAACCCTTGTCCTTTGAAGATGCCGCCCAAATGGGATTCACGCTCCCTCACACTCTCTGTAATACAGATAGGGACTGGATTAAGGGCTTAGAGAGGGAAACGTATTTCCCTACTGCCTGAATAAGTGGTTGCCCAAAAGCTCTGCGACACGCAGGAAAGGGGAATCCTTAGAAATTAGGCGATGGAGAAGACCCTTGTGGCTGGGGCTGTGTCAAGCTGAGAAGATGGTTAGTCAGCGGGAATGATGTCAGTGGAAGAACCCAGGTACTTAAGGACAAAGCTGTATTGACCCCACAGTCATGTGACAAGAGGGAATGTGAAATGTAATCCACGGCAGATGATCACCCCGAGCCACCTGCGCAGAGCTCTATTTCCAGTGCTCTCTGGTTAATGACTTGATAGGAGAATAACTTCGGGAGAAAAACAAATGATGGCTCTGCCTGCAAATATTTCTTGTACGTGCTTTTTCCCCTTTTCTCATCAGCATTTGTCAAGTTTTTCTCCTGAGGGTGGATTTAAAGCCCTCAGTTTTCTGCCAGTCATGGAGAGCGCTGCAGGCATCCGAGCCCATGCGGGATTGGAGAGGTATCCTCCCATTTACATCTCTAGCCTGAGGGCATCTAAACTAGATCTGGTGACAGCTCTCACATAAGGGAATCGCAGAAGAACTCTATGCCCTATGTAGGGTGACCAGACACCAAGTGTGAAAAATCGGGGCGGGGGTGGGGTGTAATAGGAGCCTATATAAGAAAAAGACCCAAAAATCGGGACTGTCCCTATAAAATCGGGACATCTGGTCACCCTAGCCCTATGTCTCCAACCTGGTGGCATCTGAAATGAGGGACAAGGTGTGGCCTGATGGAAGGAGTTCAGGCAAATGTTTAATTTCCCCAGCTGAAACGTGCAGCAGATACCCAATGTGAGGACATCTGCAATGCTAGTCATGCTCACTACAGCAGGCACACAGCTGGCATAAAGGATTCTGGGTGGCACTCTCTTGAACTAGGTGGGCAGCTGAAATGCTGCTCATGGTGACTGCACCAGGCCCTGAACTGATTTCATTTATTCTTCACCATCACCTGAAGCCTCAGGTGTTGACCACTGGTTTGGCATGACATCAGGCTTGATGGACCAATGGTGTGAGCTGGGGAATCTTGTTTCCCTCCAGTGAATAAATACTATAAATATGGTTGGATTCTGCACCTTTTCCTCTTTGCAGTCTAACATTTGGATACTTTCCCCACATCTCCTCCCTGTACAGTTAAAGTCATCATGCAGCATGAACATGGTCTGCAGGGCTGCTTGTCTCTTCCCAGCTGGGTCACTGGGCAGCTCTCCAATGGTGACTGTCCAAGCAAATCTATCGTTTAGACACCGTGATCCTGACAGGCAAGAGATTTTCCCAGGTTTCTCATGCTCACAGACAACACATGCAGGGCAATACCCCAGGGCCACTCCACTTCACTGGCCTGCAGAGAGGAAAATACTAAAAGGTAGGCGGTGCTAATTAAAAGAAACAAACAAAAATTCAGCCCATTTTACGCTAGCTCATTTGATCCAGACTTAAATCTCTCAGCCTCACGTGGTAAAAACCATCCAGTATTAAAGTTATACAGAGAGATGTTGATGTAAAAAGCTTCCTAATGCTGCATGGCTGTATTCACTTATTTATCTAAGTGTTATCAGTTTGATCTTACAGTCAGCCCCACAGCATACTAACCTGCTTCCCAATTCCATTCACATAGCTCAGGTCCTTTGACTTCTGTTTGGAGATGTTTTCCAGTGACCAAGTAGCATAGATGTATGGTAGTTCTATATCATGGATGAGTATCCTGGGCCCTTTTATTTTCACTTTGAGGTGGTGGGGCTGAATTTGGGCTATGGAAGGTGTTATGTTGGCCAAGAAGCGCTGTATACAAATGTAAGGTGATATGATTTGT